GAGTGGGCTTGCCAATGCTCGCCTGATAGCGACATCGGAGAAAGTCTGCGTGGTTCATACAGGAGATATTGATTACATGAATGCAAAGGAGAAGGCAGGTCGCTAGAAAATATGTATGTGTGCAAATGAAATATTAGTACGATTGCGATGCGGCCTCGTCATGACTAATTAATTTCAACCTGGCTGGCCTACGGCCTGATATCGAGTCGCAATTGTCGCTGAACGTGGGTCTGGACGTAGGCTGGCCCTCGGTCGCTCTAGGAGTATGGGTAGATCCGCGCAATCGACGTTGTAGCGCTATTGGGTATGTATCTCATTACTAAGTTAGTTTACAATTGATGTCGTACCACTAGAATAATAGTACGTCAATAGGATAGTATAAGGTACAGCAAACGGAAAACACAGAAAAACTGAAAATATTTGACAACTGGCTTAGTGGTTTTTGGCTTCGGAATGCATATTACTGCTTTGGTGCAATTGTCGGGAAACAATAGTGAGGGGCTCTGGAATTTCGACTCTGCGGGTTGATGGGGATGGCGGGTATGACGATATTAAGAGTACAAACTCACCGTATATGCAGTCGATAAATAAAAACCAACGTTATTGAGTCGATTTTTCTGTAGGCGCGGGAGATAGTCACACAGTACAATAGTAACTACCGGCGTGGCATCGACAACATGTTATTGCAATAGCTCACTTCATGTGTAATTTTGCGTATTTATCAATACCGTTGGAGGGGAATTGCTAAGGAGCACCCTGACCGGAGCGCCCGAGCAGAAAAAGCCCGAGCACATGGCATTAGTGCCCAAGCAAAGGTCCAAACAAACTTCAACGCTTAAAAAACATCAATCGACTTCTATCATGTATAAAAAAATCAATCTACATTCTATTATTAGTTTACCATAGCTTATTCCGTCAATCAAAAATCCCATTCACCGCGCGTTCAACCATTATCTTTTTGATCATGCCTCGTGGACCCAAGAAGAAGGTTGCAGCAAAGAAGAAGTCTGCAGACAAGCGCTGTCCAAAGTCTTCGCGAGTTGCTATTCAATGAAGCGACACCTGAAGAAGAAGAAGAAGAAGTGTGATCAACGCTCTAAAGCAAGACGCACCAATGAAAAGAAGGAACGACGTAAGATTCAAAACAAGACCTACTACATCCGCCGCAAGTGGAACATCTCGCTCTCTCATGTTGTCAAGGTCCTCGACGTTCTCCTGAGCAAAATTCCAGAAAAATCTGAGGTGGTATCGGCCAATTTATCGGAGCGCCTTCGTCTACTCAAGCAGGGTGCGCCGCAAGACATGAACACTCAGCTAGCTGCCCGTTTTGAGGACCTAAAGCGCTAATAAAAACATTTTTTTTTCTTAAAACAAAACATATCTTTCTTAGATTGTAAAAAAAAACAATGAAAACTAAAATTGCAGCACGTAAAAACATCTAAAACCAAGATCACACTTTCTAGTCTTACGTTACGTGGCTCCGAAAAAAGCACTCTTAATCCCAACAAAATATGATCTTACATTTACAATAAAGACTCTTTATTTGCCCCAAAAACTTTCATAGTGCACCAAAACCATACTAAATTCACGAAATTCATTCTTACAATAATTAATAAAGAAACTTTGGGAAGGCATTTATAAATATCTTTCGATAAGATGTCGAAGACGCTTTTACCTTACATTTTGTGTGCACAGCTTCATTTGTTCATTGTGCATTCAGCAACAGACCATGTCTCTCAAGCTGGACTAAAGGACACAACTACAACGCGACAAGGCTGAAGGTTGCAAGAAATGACAAGGGTCGGTACAGACTATTTGGGTGTGATCAAATGGGAAGGCCCTAGAGTACTCGAAAATAGCAGACGCCGATCGAAAGCGGCCTCTGCGGAGGACAAAGCGATCTGGTTGCCCAATGCAGATCAGTATTATTGCTGTTGATGCAACCAATACGGCAGGGCCGTGGAGAATAGTCCACACCAAGGACGGAAGCAAGATGCACAACCATGCGACTTTTGACGACATTCGCGTACATGTTACTCATCGTCAGCGGGCGGCAAGACAGTCAAAGGTTGCAGGCATGTCTACCTCTGATCTCATTCATCTCCAAATGTGGTGTAGTAATTCCCACGGAAACTCTAGCTACTAGTGTAGGTAGGATAAACCCACAACAACATACGTCTACCAGAACGGTAAACGATCGTTCGGGCGTGATCTGAAGTCCCAGACTCAGTCCTTACACCGGGACAGACTGGACCTGTAAATCGCTTAAATAGGCCAACCGGAAAAAATGAGAACACGCTACTAGCACGAACAAGCTAGTAGGTGTTATGAATCCTCGTGGTCCCAACAGCGGAAGGGTACCAGGCAC